CGCGTGCCAGGTCCCGCCCCTTCGAGCCCCGTTAGCGTCTCCATGCACATTCCATCCATTTGTATTATGATGGAGGTTTACGTTAGTTTTGTAGACATAATATAAGTTACTGCCGTTACTGTTACTGCTGTTATATACACTACCCATGTGTGTATTTAGTCTGCTATAGCAGATGATGAAAATAAATTGCCTTTTTTTGGAATTTGCACTTTTTGCACTAGTCAACTAGTCTGTTGCCCTGCCTTACCCTATCATAAAGTAATTGGTGCCTGATACTACCCTTGGCGAATATGGAGAAGTATTTGCTCACCCAGCACACATAACAGTGGGATATTCATTATGTCACTGTTCTACAATTGTTGTACTATTCCTATACATTTATTTTAAGAAAAGGACCTTCCCCTGTTCCTTCAAATGTGCGCACCCATGGGCTTAATTCTGTCTTAATGATTGTCTCCTAAAACTGCTGTAGGTTGGCTGAATGTGAAATCAAATGTCACTGTGTGTTCTGCATGTGTGACCATTAAAGAGGGTTTCATCCCTCCGATTCTATCTATATATCTAATGTAACATCTGAAAAAGTAAGGTTGAGCAATCAGCAGAATGATGCAAAGTGAGCCCTCGCAATCTGATTGGTGGTTGGTGATCGTTGCGCACTATAACGTGTTTTGATTGGGCGAGGGATTTTCGTTTATAGAAACCGGAAGAAGAGCTAACCTTGACAAGCGAGCAAAACTCTTATGCTTTTGGTATGAAGCCTTGCATTGAATGATTCCTGTAAAAATGAATCGGTAACATTAACTAGGACTACCAGTATTTGTCCCGACAGTTGTTGTGTTTCTCAGATGATCTGTTTTAGTGCGAAAAACGTCACATTGTAGCTAGCTAAACGAATGGCTAGCACATACCAAATAATTTCTTCACTCGTTTGGTTTTCTACACGTGAAAATCGCATGCTTTCCAAAGATGAGGACCCCTTTTCTGCTTGTCACTAGAAGCTGTAAGGCTATTCACAGACTGCAACAAAGTGCATTTGTCTCATCGGTTTCAGCTCTATACAGGCATCAGACGATCTCTGTGTTGAGAAATTCAAGCACTGTTTCCTGCAAAGACGACAGGAGTTACTACATAACGACCCCCATCTTCTATGTCAATGCCTCTCCTCATTTAGGACACTTGTATTCAGCTGTGATAGCTGACTGCTTACACAGGTACAAGCTACTGCAGGGCTTCAACTCAAAGTTTGCAACAGGTAAATCCTCCATTGTCCAAAATAAATGATTATTTAACAGTATTTATTGGACTGGTATTTAAACGTTGATGCTATTGATAACAAGTCCTGTTTTATACATTTCTACATTATACTAAAACTTATATATAATGTCTGTGCACTATTATGTATGTGCATTTATGCCATTTCTTATTCCTTAGTGAAGATTAGTTTGCACCTGGTAGAGAATATATAGTATTTTTGATTTATCCTAAAAGAAAGTGATTTTTTTAGTTGGATTTTTCAAAAAAGAATTATTTGGGGTTTGCGACTGTTTGTCAGAAAAAGCAGACAATTTGAAGACATCCTCTTGTACTCTGGGACATTCAAATGGGCACACATCTTCTTGACATTTCATAGTCTTAATGATTTACCAAGCAATCAATAATAATATTCCCCATTATTTTGCATTTTAGGCACAGATGAACACGGCTTGAAAATCCAACTAGCTGCTGAAGCTGCAGGAAAGGATCCCCTGACATTTTGCACCGATGTGTCTGAGAGATTCAAACATCTCTTCAACAGCTGCAACATATCGTATACAGACTACATAAGAACCACTGAGCAGAGACACCATCAGGCTGTGAAACACTTCTGGTCAGTGCTCTGGAACAAAGGGCTCATCTACAAGGGCAGTTATGAAGGCTGGTACTCCACCCAAGATGAAAGCTTCCTCACGGCGTTGCAGGTCGGGGACGCTGTGGACTCATCAGGGAATGAGATCAAAGTATCGCTGGAGAGTGGCCACAAGGTAGTTTGGAGCTAAATTGGGATGATGGCATGAGTGTGATTTTAGTGGAGATGAATGAAAAGGAGAGCTCTGCAGATCTAACACACTTAGGTCTTGGCTTTAAGACTGCAATAAACAGAATATGGGCATGGGGTTGAAATATTACGGTGTTAACCAGGCAGGCAGGGTCTTACAGAAAAGTGCTTTGAGTGTTGGCTAAGACAAAAACATCTATTGCTATTTAATAAGTCGAATTCCCATGTATATATATTTTTCTATTTTGTTAAAGGGAATTAAACTCCTCACTCTGGTATAATGATTTTGAGCGTTCTTGTTTTACAATCTTTCCTCTGTGTCATAAACTTGGAAGAAGTATAAACTAGCTTGCCTCTATACAAAGCTAAATCTGCCTACCAGCACCTCAGAACCCACTATGTAGCGTGGCCCGGTATCTTTATCTTGGTAAAATAAAAAGTATAATAACTCAAATGTGGACGTATTTATTTAGGTAGAAATCAAATCACACCTCCAGAAAATGGTCAGTTTTACTCCATCAAGAGAACTTCAACCAAATCTCCATTATTTTGCAGGTGGAGTGGATGAAAGAGGAGAACTACATGTTCCGTCTGTCTGCGTTTCGCTCTCAGCTGCTCGACTGGCTCAAAGGAAATCCCCGGGCCATACAGCCTGAGCTTTTCTACCAGGTTGTCCTCAAGTGGCTGCAGGAGGACCTTCCTGACCTTTCAGTGTCCCGCCAGAGAAGCCGCCTTCAGTGGGGCATCCCGGTCCCAGGTGATGCTGAACAAACCATCTATGTGTGGCTAGATGCTCTTGTGAACTACCTCACTGTGGCTGGCTATCCAGATAAACACAACCAATGGTGGAACGTGGCCCACCACATAGTTGGAAAAGACATCTTAAAATTCCATGCCGTCTACTGGCCAGCTTTTCTTCTCGGAGCTGGACTGCCGCTGCCACAAACAATCTACGTGCACTCTCACTGGACCGTAGGAGGAAAGAAAATGTCTAAAAGTTTGGGTAATGTGGTGGACCCTCTTGAGCGCTCAAAACAGTTCACAACTGATGGTATGCGGTACTTTCTTCTGCGTCAGGGTGTCCCAGACTCGGACAGTGACTACACAGACGACAAAGCTTTCAAGTTGCTAAACGCAGAGCTGGCTGATTCTCTGGGCGGTCTTCTGAACCGCTGCACAGCTCCAGCTCTAAACCCAGCTCAGGTCTACACTGCCTTCTTCCCTCAGTCCTTTCCAAGTGAACAGGGAGGCAGGGCTGTGGGTGAAGACTACCACATGTTGGAGGCTGTGAAAAACCTCCCTGCTGTGGTGGAGCAGCACTATGAGAGCATGCATGTTTTCAAAGCTCTGGAGGCCATCAGTGCCTGTGTGAGGCAGACCAACAGGTTTGTTCAGCGCCATGCACCTTGGAAGCTGGAGAGGAGTGACATTAGAGACCAGCGCTGGCTCGACACCATCATCCATGTCTCCTTCGAATGCCTGAGGATGTATGGCACACTCCTCCAGCCTGTAGTGCCGGAGATTTCTGACAAACTGCTCTCCAGACTCGGGGTGCAACCAGACGAGAGGGGCTTGGCTGATGTGAACTTCCTGCCAAAGATTAGGGGAATGAACTGTCCGTTTGAAGGGAGAGTGCTAGGATCTGACACTGGAGTGCTTTTTACTCGCTTGGAAAATCTGGATATAGATAAACAAAACCCTAAGAAAACAAAGAAGGCTAAAAAGTGAAATGAGGAACAGTTTTATTTCCTGTACGGATTTAATCAATAAAGAAATACAACTTCTGTGGCTGTTGATAGTATATATCTGCTTCGTTTTCTGGGCCCTGGTATTGTGCATGCGGGCAGTTGCACTGGCTTGCTGGGACACTTAAAAAAAAAATTGCACCATTGTTAATGTTATAAATGACACCTGTGCTTATGACTTCTTTATGTCAAGTCAAATGTCTGCAAAGGATAGAAGTAAACCTAAAAAGATATAAACTTCTTTTTCGGAAGACTCTTCAGTTGCCGGTTTATAACCTTAATTTAAAGGTCCCATGTCATGGCCATTCCTACTGATCATAATTCCATTGTTGAGGTATACTCAGATTCGCATTGGTTTCTCATACAGGATCTCTGTATAGTATGTGTATTCACTCTCTGTCCTAACTAAACGTGGCTGTCTGCGAGACACAGCGAAACCGGGACCGAACACACACCACAGCCTGGCTGGGAGTTTGTGTGTGTGCTCACACAACGACTCACAGCCTCGCCGCTTCCCGCCGTCTCAGGGAGGAGAAATCATCGGAGCTGCAGCTGAGAAAAGATTGAGTGTGTGTGAGGAAGTCCGCCAAATGGACCAATCCATGGAGCCGTTACGTTAAGTCCATGGATTGGTCCAAATTTACCAATCCACGGATTTAACGTAACGGCTCCACGGATTGGTCCATTTGGACCAATGGGTCCATTTGGGTATGGGCACGTCCCTGTACCCAGGAAGAAAAAGAGAAATCTCCAACGAGGCGTTCTGAGGCAGCATTGACAGGTCTTTTCTGTGTTTATATCTTTTTAGGTTTACTTCTACCAATCCATGGAGCCGTTACGTTAAGTCCATGGATTGGTCCAAATTTACCAATCCACGGACTTAACATAACGGCTCCACGGATTGGTCCATTTGGGTATGGGCACGTCACTGTACCCAGGAAGAAAAAGAGAAATCTCCAACGAGGCGTTCTGAGGCAGCATAGACAGGTCTTTTCTGTGTTAGAGTTTTACTCGCTACAGGGTGTACTTTGAGGGTTTGTGACTCTGCAGACCGTTTACATGCATAAAAAGCTACATAACACACAAGGGGACGGATAATAACCAGAAAAGAATGACATGGGACCTTTAAGTTATGGGATCAATGTCTCAACAAAAAATGTAAGTTATTCAAGTATTTTTCCTTTCAAGATACTTATCAGAACAAATCCTTTCATCCCAACTTTATCCTGCAAGAGTCCATTGACTGTTTTTATATAGAGTAAACAGGCAGCTAACACAAGTATAGGACATAAAAACTGACATGATTTTTTAATGAGAAATACACGAAACTGAAAAAATTGTACAAATTGAAATAAAATAAAAAAATTGCATTATTCTTATAATTTCTGGTACTTTTTTACATAGACTTTTCCATTATTACCATTATCTGTTTACTTCAGAGCAGGATCCCTCCTTTGATAATCCATAATTACACGACTGAAGTCAAGATATTTTCTGATCGCTGACATCACTTGTGGAGAAGGGATGTGGTTTCATGGTCCTTTGTGCCTCAAACAGTCTCCCCGCCTAACAACCTACACGGGACTGGACACATTCATCTGCCAATCTACGAGCAGGGCCTCTTCACATAATAAGGGCCTATTCTTCACATACTACTAGGAACACGCACGATCAGTAATATGAATTGGCGCCCTGTCCTGGTGTTGTATCTGAAAAAAGAAGAAAGGTTTTATTATAAACCTTAAATCTGTTGCTCATATTACACAGCGATGGAGACAATGAGATTTGAACGTTTCTGACTTACTTGAAAGTTGCTGTTGCAGCTGTCGGACCAGAGCGGCAGTCTGCTGCTGCTGCTGAGTCTGCTGCATTCCCTGTCGTGGGAACTGAAAGAGAGATACACACATTGTTATAGAGGCCATTTCTGACATTTTCTCCCATTACCTACTAGTTGCACATATACACAAGTTATGCTAAATGATTTCCAAAGTTTTGTAGCACACTATCTTCAACAAGTTGCAGTTTTCATCAAACATCTAATGGTACATTTTTAACAGCTGGCTTTTAAAAAAATCATGTCTACAAGTACAAGCCATACATGTTGTAGATGTAGACCTTCAACATTTGTAGCGGTGTCAAATGTTAAAATGTCTTTAATGAACCAGGAAGCCTCCAGAATGATCCCAAAATGGTAAATGTACTATGTTTCCCCACAGAGATTAAAGCATCATATTGTGCTTTGTTTTATCAAGTTGATCTTTTAAAAAGTAGAACAATATATACAGTATGGTTGTTCCCTGGACACAAGAAACCTAAGCTAAACCCACACAAAAAGAAAAAAGGTACACATTGATTATTACACATTTGTTAATTGACTAAAACATGCAAAACAGCCAACTGATTTCTACAATAACAGTGTAGTAAGAACATTCTGTGCCAGACAATACTAAACATTTTCACAAGGATCACAAAACTCCTTATACTATCATACTACCAACAACTGCACTAATGAAAGTCCCGTCCTCCAGATTGGACCTACCATGGGTTGTTGGGGGGGCAGAGGCTGCATGCCCAGGCCCGGGTTCTGCTGCTGGCTTGGAGGTGGTCCCGCTGCCACCTGCTGCTGTTGTTGTTGTTGTTGTTGCTGCTGCTGCTGCTGAGCAACCTGCTGTTGAGGAGGAACCTGCTGGGGCTGGACCTGTTGCTGCTGTTGTTGTTGTTGTTGTTGCTGCTGCTGTTGTTGTTGTTGCTGTTGTTGTTGTTGTTGCTGCTGCTGCTGTTGCTGTTGTTGAGCTTGTTGGGCTTGCTGCTGCTGTAAAAACAGGAAACAATCAATTGTTAGGTTCTGAGATAAAGACTTTCTCTGTTTTTTCTTTGGATTTCTTCTTGTGGTAGAGGGCGCTAGGTTAAAACACGGGTAGCCTGGCGAGGGACGAATTCACAAAGTGTGTACACACACCGACGGCCTCCTTATTCAGGTTTGCAGATGGTTCCTATAAAAGGGAAGTTTGAACCTGTGGATATTTTTAGCTCTCTCCCGGGGATAGTAGAGAAGACGCCAGTGGGTGTGGGCTATGCAAGAGTGAGTGGGGTTGTGAAGAAGAGGCATTTTCGGGCGATGGGGCGGTGTGCTGGTTGGTGGGCTATTTGAGGTTTGACCGCTTGGTTGCTTTTTTACAACTATGGCTGGGAGGTGAGGGTTCGATTATTAGTTGCACAGGAGTTATATGTACTTTTCTGTGTGGTTGTTGTTTGTGCTTCGAGGGTTTGTTGTCGGATGTTGCTCTGTGTTGTTGTCTCTAGTTCTGGTGCGGCTTGTTTTTGGGTGCTGATGCGCTGTTGGTTGCTGCTGTTTTTTTCTGTTTTAGTTCTGTTGGCGTGATTGTGTCTTTGATGTTGTTTTGGTTTGTGTTTTTGTTTTTTTTTTGTTGGGTTTTGTTGGTTGTGTTTGGGCTTAATGCTGGTATTGGACTATGTCTTTCTTTTTCCTCCGAGTATGTGAACTGGAGACTGTGCATGATGGGAGGTCGGCTTGTGAGATGTTGGTTTTCTGGTGTGGGGAAAATCGGGGTAGGATCTTTTCTTTGGAGGATTCTATGGGAAGTTTATGTGGGTTGCTTTTGGTGTTTGTTTTTCTTTTAAGGCAGTATTCTCAAGGATCGTGAGGTTACTTTTCATATAGATGTTGGAGCTTATGTTTATTGCTGATGCTATGTTTTTTTGTAGCCGGTGTAGTTCTTTTAGCTAAGCTCAGTAGGATATGCTAGGGAGGTGTTTGTGGATGTTGTTGGTTGTGTCTCTTGGTAACTGAATAACTCTCAGTATTGACTCTTGTTCCTTGTGTTGCTGTTACTGGCTAGGTATTGGTGTGTGTGTGGGCGTTAGCCTGTGGAGCGCTGCTCTTGGTTTTTAATTATACCACTTTGCTGCTCGCTTTGTTTGCATTTTTGTTTTGCCGAGAAGAATTGGAGGGTTCTCCGACGCGCAGGGTGGCCTGTGTTGGGCTCGCTCGAGGATTATTTGGTGCCGTCTGGAGGTTTCTGGTTTCTCTTGTAGTGTAGTAGTGGTGGGGAGGATCTTGGTTTTTACATCACAACCTGGTTTGGTTATAGTCTTGCTTTCATCGCGCGCAGGGGCTCTTTATATGTTGATCCTGGTGTGAGTGGGTGTGGTTGTGCGTTTTGTGGGAGATGAGGGGGTTCTGAGTCATAAGTATTATGTTAGAGATGGAGTGGATGATAGTTTAATAAGAAGAGCGCGAGAAGATGAATTATAGGTAGGAGGGTCGTAGTGGTTGTTATGTTTGGTGGGGTGGATGCTATCTAGAGGCAGGTATGTATGTTTATGTAAACAGGTGATGTAAGCGTAAGAGAAGAAAACTGAAATCTGGGTGTTGCCGTAGTGTAGTTTGGGTTTGGGGGTCTGTTTGGTGTTCCAAGTGCGTTTAGGGTAGGCGGTATTAGTGATCTGAATGGTGGTATTATATAAGTGGTTATGCATTAGATAATTTTATATTATTTTGTGGTTGGCATGTTGTTGTAAGTCTTGTCGTTTTTAATTCATGTTTCTCTCTAATAGGTCGTGTGTTTTTTTAATTTGGGCGTGGGTCTAAATTATTGTGATTTAAGGAGGTTGTCAGTGGGTTTATTTCAATTTATTTTTATACGCGTAATTGTGTGTTCTGTGTTGGGAGCGTATATGTTGAGATGAGGCGCGAGCGGCTGTGATTTATGATCGCTGCTTGGGGGATCTATGTGTAAATTGATATGTATTGTTTTTTGTTGTGGGCTTTGAATAGTTTATAGGAAGCTGCTTGATTCTTGTTTTACCTGTAAGCGCTAGGTGTTTTAATTGTTGGATTTACCTCTAGTGGTGTATTGTAGATTTTAGGTTTCTGGTGCATCGCGTGAGGGTTTGATGTGGCTACTGGTAGGAGTAGTTGGGGTCTGTTTTGAGGGAGAGACCTACTCGCGTTTCATGTTGATTTGGTGTATAGACAATGTTGTCAGAAGAATATCTCTCTCTTATTATGTTCTGCATGGGATTTGTGACAGTTGAGTATCAATGGTGTTACTTCAGTGGTGGTAGGTTTGTTCAGTTAGGTGGTGGTTAGCTTTTGGAGAAATTGTGGGCGGGTGTGTGTACGGGTATTTTGGTAGTGTGTTATCACATGGAGGCGTTCATTGTACACACAAACTTTCATTCTTTTTGCGATTCGTTAGAACTGGTGATTTTTTTGCTGGGTGTGTCGAGTGGAGGTAGGGCCGCGTTGGTGGCTGTGTGTGTGGGATGTACAGCAGTGGTTTTCAACCAGTTCGGGGTTGTGGTGTGTGTTATATGGGAGGTTAGGTGCTTCGCGTCGCTGGCGTAGAGTCTGGTTTTCGTTGTCGGGTGCTCTGGGTGTTGCTGTTCATCACTCGGTTCCACTTTGTATGTGGCGGGGGCTTTGGTCGGTTGTCTGTTTCTCAGTGTGTGTGACCTGCAGAGCCTGGTTTGCTTTCTTTACTGGGCCGCGGCTGCTTTAGGAGAGGGTGTGGGGGTGCTGCGAGACTGGCGCATGTGAGTCTGCATAGAGTGGTAATATAGGGTGGTGGTGTGGGGTAAGTCCGCTGGGTAATGGGAATCCATAGTTTTTAGAAGGGGAGGTATGGTCGTTTCGGCTAGTGGCGATTAGCGCTGTAAATAATTTTTCCATAGACTTAGCTCGCAGGTTCCTGTGGTCGGATTGGGTTTTTGGGTATGGGAAGCCGCAGCGTCAGAAAAGTGGAAAAAGGCGCGGGTGTTGTGCTTATAGTCCGAAAATTACGGTACAGTACATATACTTCGTGATTAAAAGGGGTGTCGAAAATATGTAAGATGCTAATTCTTGTGAGAGGGATGTATGGGGAAAGATAGGGGTCTGTTGGTGCCAAAATAGGCTTACTTGAGATAGATGTCTTGCACATCGAGTTGGGTTTGTTTTGGGGTTTGGTGTTGGACGGTATTATGTTTGTTGTGTTAGGGTTTATTTGTCTGATCTGTCTGCCCGATCATGTGTTTGAAGTGTTCTGAAGGAGATGATAACAGTGGAAGTCGAGTGTAGAGGGGGACAGCTATATGGATTTCTAGGATGCTGGCTTTGTTCTCTACCAGGAGTGAAAGGTTTTGTGTGGCTAATTGTTTTCCTTTATATTTTATTACAAGGTTATTTCAGACATCTTTTTTTTTTGGGTGAGGTCTTATGGTGGAGTATGTTTGTTGTTATATGTGTTATTGGTGTAGGACTACCTCTGTTTTATGGTCGTAACTCTTGGTTTTATCAGCTGTATATGATATTGTTGTGGTGTGGATCCCGACTCACCGTCTGAGCCCTGTGTAGCTTGCTGCCGCTTGGTTTATCTGGTCTGCTGATCGGCTATGTGTGGTGGTGTTTTGGTTTTTTTTTACTCCCATGTGTGGTTATTGCTTTTTTTCCTGTATGCTTATTTCATGCCAGCTTATCCCTCCTGTTTTTTTGATGTATCTTTTGGGAAGGGGATGCGCTGGGTAGCTGGGCGGGGTTCTCTTCGCTGTGTTTTTGGGTTTCGGTTTTGTTGCAATGCTGTGTGTGGGGTTGGCTGTATGTACGTGTCGGTATGGTGGTGCTGGCGTAGAAGATCGTCGTGGTATTTATGATCTCTGCTGGCTGTGGAAAAAGGTTATTATCAGGCTTTTAAGGGCTTAGCGAATCCTCATGTGTGAGTTGCATTTTGTTTGGGTCATTATAGGGATAGTCTGTGTGTATTGTGTTCTTCTAACTTAGTTGTCTAGTGCCCTGTTACTAAGGGAGGACATAATGATGACAGATATTATGCCAGTTTATTGACTGACCTGTTGGGGCGAGGTAGAGTGGGCTTGCTGGTTGTGCTTTGGTGGGTGGGAGCGATGTTCTTATGTTTCTGCTGCGTCCGTGTTTATCTGTGGTGGCTTTGGGTTTATGTCTGCTTTCATTCGGAGTTGGGTGGGTGCTGGGTTGATTAGTCCGATTTTTAGGGCACCCACTTCTATTGGGGGTTGTGATTGGGGTTTGTTTTTTGGGGGCAGTGTGTGTGTCTAGTGGATTTGGAAGAAGGAGTGAGATTGATGTCATTCTTGTTGTCGAGGACGCATGTGTCTGAGAGACAGATAATATATGCAAAATCTATCGTTTGGGTTTTGTTAATTTTTCCTCTTTAAAGGCTAAGCTCACACCTAGGCTATGTCACTGTGCGCGAGTCTCTCTATATGTGTTTACTACAGTTTTACAATATTGTTGTCTCCGAATGTGTGTCTGTATGTGGTTGGATTTGAAGTATAATCTTCTGGTTGGGGTCATATTTCTGTTTGGAGATATGTCTAGGTTGGCTCTTTTTTATTATGTGTTTGATTTTGTGGCATTTTATTACCCCCTATAATGCGCTTATAGTTTTCCTGGTAGTTCCAGTGCTTCGCTCATATGTAGGATCGTTGTTCTATACATTAGGATGTCTGCACTGGTAACAATGTAAAATGTTACTACTTGGTTTTCTGGGGGAAGGCCACCATAGAGGGCTCTCACAATATGCCATAGTAGCAATAGTCTTGGATTCGCTTCTCGTAACAGTGGGTATTATAACAAATGCAGCTTAATAATGGACAGTTTTTTTCTGGGTTTACTGTTTTTTTTTTGGTTTGTTTTTCAGTATGTATCGCTCTCGGTTCACTACATTAGAGAATCATAGGCGTTGTTATTGCGAACTACAGAATACAGTATGTATTATAGCATCATTCAAGAGGTTTATGCTCTTGTGTTTTTTTTCGATCTCTTCTCGTTTTGGGTGGTGTATTTTATAATATTGTAGACTACATTTTATTACGGGTGGTGTAGGGTTTATGTCCTTTTTGATAGGCTAGAGAACAGATATCTCATCTTTATCATTGGGCTTATCTGAGTGATATGCTAAAATTATCATTTTCCATATGTCGTACGCACAAACCTCTCTGCTTTGTGGTTGACTTGTCGTTCTTGTCTTGAGGAGAACAATTTCTTGGAGTTCGTTTTAGAAAGCGGTATGGTCGCGCGCCTTGCAGTTGGGAAGCGGGTATGAGGGGGGTTTTGTGGTGGTTGGAGTGGTCTCAGGCGCATTTTTTCACGTTTAGTTAGGCTCGTGGTCGGCTCTGTGTCTTTGTTTTGTTTTTTTAATTAGATTTGATTGAAAATATAGTGGTAGCTTGGCTGACATGGGGCTGTTGGCCTGTCGAGGGGGGGCTGCTGCTGCTGGCTGAATGGACAACAATTATGAAAGAGCGTTGTGTGGACCCCAACAACGAACTCTGTCATCAAACGCACTTCATGCAATGCTCATTTGGATTGCCTATGTGGTGACTCTGCTTTGCCTTGACCTGAAGGGACACATTTTTGACTGTATTACACAGTTGGAAAGAGTTGATTCCTAGCTTCTAATGATTCAGGATTGTGTTGTACTCCAACTATTAAGCAAAATATGTCACTTGTTTGATTGTTTGTTTGTTATAGATGTACTGTTATCTCATGTCCATGTCTTGTTGTTTTGGTTAGAATAGATATAGTATTTGTCTGCTATTATATGAGGGTTTCCTCTTCTTCTGGATATGATGTCATGTGTCTCTCGAATCTGATGTGATTATTAGCGGAGCAAATGATCAAAGTAGTACGGGAGCGGAAAATATTTTTGTTATAGGATTACTGGTCTGGGGGAAGCTTGTGTGTGTGTGTGTGGTGTGTGGGTGGTGGGTGTTTGGTTGGTGTGTGTGGTGTTGGCTTTTGTTATTGTGTTTTGGGTTCGCGCGGTTGTTAAATCTATACTTGTCACGAGATGCCTACGGGTTTTGTTTGATGTGGTGTGCGTGGGGGGATTGCGTCAAGGGTTACACCGTTCTTGCTTCGCTTGTAATTGGGTACCTTTTGTTTATCTCTGGAGCTGTTCCATAAGTTTGTGTATTTATATCTCTGAAATTTGTCTGGAAACGATAGAGTTTTTTGGAATTATTCGTGGTTTATGTGAAGGCTCTGGAGAAGACTTTGTTTAGGTGTTTTTGGATGGGAAATTTTACACATGTGTGTAATCGGACGGCCTTGGATTGTTTTTTGGTAGGTTGGTATGTTTTATGATTACTGTGATACTCGCCGTTTTATTCTTATTAATTTCAGTTCTGTATGAGGGGAGGTTGGGTGTAGTCGGGGGTGCTGCGAAGAGCACTGTTGGGTCGATAGGGTGTAAAGTGTGGTTATGAGACTCCGCTTGTTGGTGCCTTTCTTGATTTGTGATATAGTGATATGCTCACGGATGTCTTGTCTTGGTGTGTGGATCTTGGGTTGGGTTTGGTACTGGGTGGCTTGTAGTGCTACTTGGCATTTAGCGCGTCGTGTTTTATGATGTTGGGTGTTATAGCGAGTAATGATGGTGTGTTTGCTTGCCTTCCGTTGGTATCTTCTCAGGAGCCATGGGGAGGGGGTGGTTTGTGTTTTGGTTTTGTTATAGTTGTTGTGTTTGTGACTGTCAAGCTTGGCATTTTCTCCCAGTAGACGATGTTCGTTAATATATGCCGGATATGTGTGACACTCGGTGCTCATGCTGGCGTCTCATTGCTGTTTGGTGCGGGCGATGGGCTGTGTGTTGTCTGGTCTGTTGATGTATGAGGTCAGGAATCAGGAGCGTGGGGGTGGGTTGTGTGCG